TTGTCATCAAATTTGAATACAACAATGTCTTTTTTCCAGCACAAAGATAAAACCAGATAGCAATAACTTTTATCATTCAGGTATACAAAAATTTCCAGCTTATATCTTATGTCCACTTATTTCCTTCAACTTATAACAGTTTGTAAAATTTTTCTGTGAAGTGTGAAATTATGGGCTTATACTTTATTTCTAAACCAGGGTATCTTCATTGGTTATTTCTTTTAAAACTTGTGGGCCAATGGTAACTTTTTGTAATGTTTATATACTTAAACAATAAAACATGGAACTTTAATTATAGTTCTGAAGATTCCTTTGAACACTAAGTAAGATCTAAATGTTATATTTCATCTTTCCATTAAACTTTAAATTCTATTTTGCAACATTTGAAATCTTTAAGGATTATTTTCAAAGGAAAATTATTGTTATTTCAAAGTTTTATGGCTGATTATAAGTAAGTTTTCTTTAAAAAAAGCTCTAAAGTACCCAATAAAAAGTGGTTTAAAATTATCATGACACGTGCTTTTCCTTACATTTCTCCACAGCATATACAGTCTGCTTGAGTCATAACAACTGGTAGCAGTATTTCAACTGCTGTAAAAACCAATACTAATTTGTTTTATGTTTTTTTTATCTTTTCTAGTCATTTCAAACAAAATGTTTTTGGAGTTAAGTTTTTATTTAATCATATGCAATATTTTAAACTAATAGTTCCAATTTAAATCTGACTGACTACCCACAACATTAATTTTTATTACTGTAATTAGACTATCAAAGTTTCTATATTATTTATGGTCATTCAGTTTACTGCAGGATGCTAATATAAATAAGATAGAAACAGTTACAGCAACATTAAATGGGTTTTACTACTGAGCTCCTTGGTACAAAGAAGAGTATAAGACTATTATTTATAAATCTGAAGACTAATTCACTTATGTTATTTTACAAAATATTAAGTCATTCTTAATACAAGTTTATACTGTGTACTTGCAAGGTTGATCCTAAAGGTAGATGAAACTAAACTAATTAAGTAAAAACCAATTTCTGAAGACATGATGAAAGTTGTACAAACCACTACTTAGTTCAAATATACTTTACTTACAATGCATATGGGTCAGAGGAAGGTTTCTTAATCTAAACTGTAGTTTAGTTATTAAATCAAGATTTTTTCCAAAAATAACTGAACAAACAATGTTAACCAACCTATCATCTCCTTCCATTATAGAATTTTCTGACTCTGTTTCCCAGCTTTCTTCTGACCCAACAGATTCATCATCATCATCATCATCATCATCATCCCACAGATCATCAGAGTCCTAAATCACATCAATAAAAATTATTCCAAAAATGAATTCATTATTGCAATTTTAACTTAAACATACATAGTAACACTGTATCAAGAAATATAAAGTCACCAAGTAAAATGAAAACTTATAGCAAATTTTACATACACTAGCTTTATTGGAAGTATTAAAAGTACACACCATTTGCTAAAATAAAATAACAAAACATACTAAGTTTAAATCTTTTTATTTTTTACATAATGAACATTTGATCAATTTTGAATGCCCAAGAAACAACCAATAAATGCTGTTTTTCTGTATAAAACAAAACTGTAGAGTACTACAAGTAACTTGACAAGAGCTCCTTTGTGAGCTTGTGTATTTTATACTGTGAGCAATACAGAGGTTTATAAATGCAGATTTTTTAACTGACGTAACTTTCATGAACGTGCTTAACAAAATAAGATAAGCTTTGATAATATACAACACATACACACTTCTGTAAGATGTCTATAAAGGACATACTTTCAATAACATCATTACATTTTTTACTTAGACAAACTTTAAATGCAGTTTTTGCTTAGAAACCCATGCAGTATCTATGAGTGATCTTAAAATCCTTGCTTCTTTGAATCAATCATATTTTAAACCTTTACTATCTAACTGAGAGTACACTGTGTAAATAGCCAAATGAAGTTCATACACACACACACACACATATATATACACACCTTTTACTAACTAATTGAGGTCATATTGGGTGTATACATAGTAAAACAAAAATCCACATGCACACAACTTTTACTACATAGTTGAGAGAACACATTGTTTGTCTAGTCCTCCAAACTTAATTTAAAATAAAGGTTGCAATTTAAGGATACTTTTTGAGAAAATAAAGGCTGTTTTTCATTGACAAACATACAGATGCACCTTTCTCAAATTTTACATATTTAAGTAAAGGCATACTTGGTTCATGTTGAAAGTATCAATGTATTCTACTTAAACTGCTTTCTCTATTCACCATCAACATATCACATTCTATCATATATTCTACTTACAATGCTTAACTTGCTTCTTTCTCTTCACCATCAAACACAACATTCTATCTACTTGCTTCACTCTCTCTATTATCAACATGCCAAGTATCCAGTGCTTCAAATCTTCAAATATTTATTTTATTTTAAGAAATATGCTTTACTGATACAATAATACATTCTGACCATTTTAAAGGTTCAAAGCTAAGCTTAAAGATTTTAATGATTCACTGGGAGGTCAAAGAATGAAATGAGGACACTACACACACACAACTTTTCCCATATAATTGAAAGCACATACACATAACTTATACTACCTAACTGAAAACACTGAGATTACACACAACTTTTCCATCTATCTGAATGAATAGTGTGAGATTACCACACACACACAAACAACTTTTATTATCTAATTGACAATACAGTGTGTCTGAACAGTCAAATAAGGTCACTACACAAACACATGTAACTTTTACTATATAACTGAGGAAACAAAATGTGAGATAGCTACACATACACATATTTCACTATTTAATTGACAGTGTGGAGTAACTACACACAACTGTTACTATCTAATTGAGGACACACAGTGGTGCCAAGAACAAGGTCAGTGGACCATCTACATGTGATAGTGATACTTCAATATGTTCAGTTATGTAAAATCTAACAGTACACGACTGTGTAAAAATAATACACAAACTGCAGTTTTACTAGGTAAATAATTTTTATTACAGGACAGTAGATATTTTCATTACAGGATTAAACACATTTTTACTAAAGAATCAAACCTGTTCATCTGATAAAATTGCATTCAGTAGCACAAATATTATATAGTTCTGTAATAAAAGCTAGAATATGTGTGTGTTGTTCTACAAGATTAACCTGGAGTACACAAGAATAAGGTAATTATTTGCTTAAAAATATATTCAGAAAACTTATTATTGTTGGAATATGACATTATTTCAAAGATAAATTATGAATATTAAAACCTCTGAAAAAATTCCCAAAGCTTAGCCTGAGAAACACTGAACTGCTACGTTAAAGTATTATTTTGATACAAACCTCCAATTTTGAAAATTATGCTTTTCTAGGTTTCTTTTTTTTTAATTATTTTAAGAGTTGCCTATAAGATATGTTGGTACTAACAACTAAGAACATTTTAATGTTATAGTTCCCCTGAACTTTATGCATTTCTTAATAACCCAATTCTTAAATCATAGCATATTTGCTGTTTGACAAATACTTTATCAAAACATACACAAACAAATTCATTATAAAATGTTTAATTCATCACTTTCTTTTCCAAAAGTACAGTATTTTTTGACTGAACATAAAAGACACAATAAAAACTATAGGATGGTTGTTTCTAATCAAATATGTATTTATATGAGTAACATGAACAACTTCCTTTTGTATGTAATTACCATTACTCAGAAAAATTAAAAAGGAAAAGCTGAAATGTTTTTATTGATATATTTGTCTATCTGCATAAAAAATGTGTGGTATGTAATTTCTATATGCAAATAACAAGAAAAAAAAAGAAGTCTTTCATACATACAGCTTTATATATTTAAATTATTAAATGCTTTTAATTGTCAAAGGTAACTAAAGAACTAATTTCGAACAATATGTTACAACATTTGATCTGTAAAATGTTGGTATGGATAAAGATTCACACAATATCATACATACACTTGTTTTCCTTGGAAATACAAAATATTTGTAATACAAATACAAAGGAAAATACTATCTCTTAAAGTTTGATACAAACTTGAAAAGTTGCATAAAAGACAGTGTGGTGATTTTTTTTTTAAATTAGCCAATTCAAAAACTTCTTTTTAACATTTTAATTATTACTTGTAAATTCAGAATACAATTCTAGTATATATAACAAACTTTAAATGAAAAAACTGAAATTGGCAAAACAGACATTCAAAAGAAAACAATGCATATAAGTTAATTCACAAACATAATGTCTTTTTGATATAATCAACTTATCACATAAGTCATTTAAAACAATGAGCATTTTTTTTCAGCAATATACTCAATCAGATTGTCAACTACTGAGCAATATTTAATCACAATTCAAGAAAAGGGTAATATAACATGTAATATAATAGCTCTTCTCACATGTGCAGCCTCACACCTCTGCTGGTGATAATAGTTTTGTTTTTTACTGATAATACTCTGACAGATATTCCTAACATATTTTCCATGTTTTTTTATGCACATTTCTTCTCTTGAGCAGTTTCAAATATTTTGTTTGCTTCAGAATTTTTTGAGATGATTGTCTACATAAATATCTGACTGCATCCTTTTCTTCTCTGGACGATGGCACATGTATATTTCTTTCCTATGAAATTATGACCTTGATTATAATTTAATATTCACATTATTAATGGCAGAATGAATGCAACTGAATATAAAACAAATCTATCACAAAATTAACTCTCTGAACTTTGGTATCTATTTAAATAGCAATATCTAATACGTATTCCCTTTGAAAACAAATTAATTCCTTCTCAAACTAATACAAGTAATAGAGAGAATGTTTAGTTTAAACTGTGTACTTAATACTTGTTTTGTTGGATTCTGTGCAAAACTACATGAGGACTATCTGCACTAGCCATCCCTAATTTTAAAGAGATAAACTAGATTGAAAGCAGTTGGTGAACATCACAATGTTGTTGTTGGTGGCAACTTCTGGGCTACTGATTATTAGACCAAAACAGTGGGATTTGACCATCACTCTTATAACACATCTACTATCTCAAAGTGAGGAGCACATTATATATACATACACTTTTTTTTTCATGATAACATAATATGAGCCCCAGCAGCTCAGCTCCACAGACTGGCACACTAACAACTGGCCCATACTCAGTGTTAAAGTTGAAAATATAGATAATGTGATGTCATCTAACTGCATTCTACTCATTATAAATGTGTTTTATGATATACTAATTAGAATGGTAAATTAAATTAGCAACATTATTTACTGGGTTAATTTTTTTTAATATAGCTTGCTTGAATCAGAAGTTATTGATATAATGATTATTTACAACTACAATCTCAGAATAACGTTTTTAGATTTGCTGGTACACCATCAGAAGGTTGTTGATCATTTAAAGACTGCTTGATATACAGAACTGGCCCACATTACACTATTTCTTTATGAATAAAAATTAATATGTTCCTACACTGAAAATGTATTTCCAATAGGTACTTACCTCTTCTCACGTAATATCTTTTGTCTTTCAATGCTGCCACTACCCTTGAAACTCTCACCTACCCCACGTTCAATGTGGTTCTACTGCATTTTTGCATGCAGCAACCCTCTACCAATAGGAACATGACACTCTCCTCACATAGGTTACTTCCTCTACACTATTTAGTTTAACCTTTACTTCAAGATTAGGCACAAAAGAAGCACCAGAAGTGGAGAGGAAGGGCAGGAAGTGGACGAAGAGGTAAGTACCTTCCAGAAATATATTTTCAGTGTGGGAAAATATTAACTTCCAATATGGTATCTTACCTCCTCTCACATAATAGTTATAATCCCACATTGAAAAAGTGGAGGGACCAGTGCAAAAGTGACATATATGAGCACCCTTCAGAAAGCACCTGACCTCTTTAGAGAGAGGAACACACCCATGGAAGACCACACATCTGTACCAGGTATACTCTTTGTCCAAGGATGTAGTAAGAATGTTGCCTAAATGGGTGAAAATTAGTTGGAGCACATCCATTAATGTGTATATATGTTGGTTGGTTCAGCTCAACACCCAACACAAACACCTAGGAATTGAAATCCAGGTGATGGCACGATGGAAGGTTCCCAATGAAATATAGTAATGGTGGGGAAAAACTAAACTGATGTGCCCCATACTGTAGAATGGCTAGGGTGTGTAAGACCATACTTGGTGGGTCAACTCCAGTCCAACACAAGGCAGCATCAGGTACTTATCTTCCAGTCCGCAGCAGGAGAGTCCCTACTAT